GTGCATGTCGAAATACACTCGTATATGCGTAAAAACACAATGTCGGCGAAAAAATGGAAAATAAACTCATGAGCACGTAATAGCGTTAAAAAATTGTTTTTTTGTTTTGTTTTTTTTTAATAGAAATAAAAATATATAAGCATATTAAAATTGTTTTTTTTTTCAAAAAAAATAATATAAAATGTCGAGAAGTGCCTTACGTGCAATAGTCGTTTAAATGTTCTGGAAATCTCACCCTTCTTCCAGAACGCGTCGTTTTAAGTTTATTTTCGGATACTGTCGAAGTATCTTCGTGTGTGTTGGTTGTCGGATGAGGTATTATTAGTGTCTGAGTCGTGTCGTTCGATTGTACCGAAGGAAAATCGACGTGGATAGGATTTCCTTCTAAATACGCTGCTTTTAAGCGATCGATGCTGATGCTATCGTTGGTTCCGTTCTTATCGACTATATAGTACTTAGATTCACGTTGAAGAACTTTGAAGGGTCCTTCGTATGCTGATTCGAATGGTCGTCGATGCGAGTCTCGACGAATGAAAACGTGTGTACTATATCGTAAGTCAGGTTGAACGAAAACATCAGTTGATTGAGGTCGAGTGGAAGCAGGTTTAACTGAACGCATTGCGTTTGTAAGCCTGTTCGTGTAGGAGGTTAGATCCATGTTCATCGAAGAGCACGAAGGATCCACGAATTCTCCTGGAAGTCGAAGTGTCGTTCCATAAACGAGTTGAGCCGCAGTGTATCCAATGTCAGCTTTCACTGCATTGCGGATACCTAGTAAGACGAGTGGAAGAGCGTCGGTCCATTGTGAAACGTTTGCAGCTGATAGCGAAGCTTTCAGTTGTCGGTGAAAACGTTCTACCAACCCGTTTGCTTGTGGATGGTAGGCGGTCGTTCGGAAGCGAGTGATTCCTAAAAGTGTGGTCAGACGACGGAAAAGATCAGATTCAAACTGACGTCCGCGGTCTGTAGTGATGGTTGAAGGGCAACCGAAGTTTGCTACCCATCGTTCGACGAATGTGCGGGCCACTGTTTCAGCAGTGCTGTCCTTGATAGGTACTGCTTCTGGCCATCGAGTGAAACGGTCTACGCAGGTTAAGAGATAAGAGTATCCATTTGAATCTGGTAAAGGTCCTACCAAATCCAGATGAACATGGTCGAAACGAGCATCGGGAGTTTTAAACGAGCCTAAGGGACATTTATTGTGTCTGATAACCTTAGATTTTTGGCAGCTTACACAGGAGCGTGCCCACTCCCTCACGTCTTTATTCATGCCAGGCCAGCAAAATCGTTCTGCTATAAGCTTGATGGTTGCACGAACACCTGGATGAGAAAGTTTGTGCAATGTGTTGAAGACATTGCGTCGATAATGTTTCGGCACGATTGGGCGATCCCTACCTGTAGATGTGTCACAAAGTAAGGTTTCCTTACCTGTTCCCATCTGTTTGATGCGTAGTTTAAGTGTTGTGGACGATAACTCGTGCTGAAGATCACTGTCTTCTTTTTGAAGCTCGGCGAGTTTAAGAAGGTCGATTCCTTGGAAACTGTTCAAGGAAGTTATGCGAGATAAAGCGTCTGCAACTACATTGTTTGCTCCAGAGATGTGTTGAATATCTGAAGTAAACTGCGAAATGTAGTCCAGTTGTCGAGACTCACGGGGAGAGTACTTGTCAGAAGGAGAGCTTAACGAGAAAGTGAGCGGTTTATGGTCCGTGAAAAGAGTGAATTCACGGCCTTCGATATAGTGTTGGAAATGCCGTACAGCACAATACATAGCTAGGAGTTCCCTACCGAATGTGCTGTACCTCGATTCGGTGTCTAGCAACCTTCTAGAGAAAAATGCCAAGGGTTGCCAGGAGTTGTTAACCCATTGTTGTAAGACTCCTCCGATTGCTGAGTCGGATGCGTCTACTGCGATGCTAATGGGTGCTCGGGTGTCCTGATGTGCGAGCATTGTTGCTTTAGCAATCAGTTCCTTAACTGTGGAGAATGCTTTTCGTGCGGTGTCGTCCAAATTAATGGATTTCGCATTTCCACGAAGTTGGTCGGTCAGAGGTTTCATAAGTGATGCGCATCTGGGTATGAAACGTCTATAGAAACTTACCAGGCCGTTGAACGTGCGTAATTGCTTGACGGTGGTCGGTTCTGGGTAATCCAGAATGGCCGCCACTTTGGTTCTAAGGGGTCGGATACCTTGAGCATCGATAGTGTGTCCCAGAAAGTCTAACGAGTCGGTTCCAAATTGGCATTTCTGAACGTTTACAGTTATGCCATGTTTTTGTAATCGTTCGAAAACAAGGTCCAGATGCTTGAGATGTGTTTCTCTGTCCGGACTTGCGATTAGACAGTCGTCAACATACGCGTGTACGAAGTTGAGACCTCGAAAAACGTCGTCTATGAATCTTTGGAATGTTTGAGCAGCATTCCTTAGACCGAAAGGCATTCGCAAAAATTCATAGAGTCCGAAGGGAGTTATGATAGCTGTTTTCGGTATGTCGTCAGTAGCCATAGGGATTTGGTTATACGCTTTAACCAAGTCGATTTTCGAAAAGACAGTTGTACCTTTCAAGGTAGCTGTCAAATCGTGAATGTGAGGCAACGGGTAACGATCGGGAATGGTTTTCGCGTTCAATCGCCGATAGTCACCAGTTGGACGCCAATCGTTGCTGTCCTTTTTAGGGACCATGTGCAACGGAGATGCATATGGGCTACTTGACGGTCGTATGATTCCTAAGTCCATCATGTGATCGAATTCGTTTTTCGCTAACCTTAGCTTTTCAGGAGCTAGTCGTCGTGCTTTAGAGAATACAGGTGGTCCTGTAGTCGTGATGTGATGTGTAACATTGCTGGTTACACACGGTAGTTTCGGTTGAGTTTGTTGTATCCCAGGGTACTTATCGAGTAGTGGTTGATAGAGTGGGTCTATCATATGTTTAACTGTGACTGGGGATACTCTACAACCAGTAAAAGAAGTTACGCAAACGGACAAATTAGTGTTTCCGTCTACTAGCCTCCGTTTGCGAGTGTCGATGATCAGATTGTGGTGTTGTAGAAGGTCCATACCAATGATTGGCATAGAAACATCTGCAACGACGAAAATCCAGTGGATGGGTTTGCGTAAACCCACGTTAAGGTAAACGTACCTTTTGCCATACGTAGCGATCGGTTTTCCGTTTGCCGCCTGTAAGTTTAGGGTCGATTCGTGAAGTCGGTCGTTAGGATTTGCTGGGAGAACGCTAACTTCTGCGCCAGTGTCGACGAGGTAGCGAACTCTCGTTGTCACATCTGTGACGAATAACAGACGGCTTTGTTCGCCGGCTACGGTTGCCGTTAACGCGTGCCGGCTTGGAAGTTTCCCGAATTGTTTTTCGAGTCAGTCGGTTTCGTGTTGGGAAAATTGCAGGGTTTTCTGCAATTTCTGGAAAACTTTCCATACTGGTTATGATACCAGCACCAGTCGGGGTTATCTGTCTCTCGTGGTCTAGAGACAGATCGCTTACGAGAAATGCTTCTACGTGGTGTGCGCGATCTCTTACGGTCGGTACGAAGACTAAGATAACGCGTGAGTGTGTGACATAAGTCGGTTATGTCATTCTGAGTCGTGTGAGGCTTTTCTTTGACTGAAAATACCTCGGTAGTAGAGTTTCGTAATTTCTAGAATGCGGTCGGCAGATACAGCTAGTTCGTCTAAGGCGTTGTTCTGGAACGAGACCAGAACTGCTTGCACCTGTTGGGGAAGTTTTGACAAGAAGAGTTGTTTGAATAGACCTTCGTCGAAAGTTCTTGGGCCTATAACCTCTCTCATCCGTTGCAACATGTCCGTCGCAGAACCGTGTTGCAGGTCGATATTGTTGAAGAGTTGATCTAACCTTTGTCGATCGGTTAGGTCTCCTCGTTTAAGAATCGAGCGTTTTAAGATTTCGTAAGGATCGGAAACATCACTAGTAAACATACTAGGTGTTACGTACCTGTTGAATTCGCGCGGTAGTGCCTTGACTACTGCGAGGAATTGTGCACGTGTGTCGATCACGCCGTGCTCGGAGAAGTCGGCTTCTGCGTAGCAAAACCAGGCTTCGATGTTGTCGGGCCAGAAAGGCATCAGTTGAAACGAAGGTGGGGACAAGGTCTTAAGCTTGAGTACTTTAGGTGTCTGTTCAGTCATGATGAAATATGAAGTACGATAATGAACGAGGGGAAAAAATATATATATCCAAGAAAAACACGAAAAAAAATCACAATGTTTAAAAAAAATAAAAAATAAGGCAATGATATATAAAAATCCCAAAAAGGAACAGACTCACAGTTGCAATAAGGTGTACCAGATCACGACGGTCTCACCAATGATGATGTCACAGGTATTCAGTGTTTGACAACGCTTCTACCAGTAACACCTTCTAATGTATTTCGTTCCCACCAAGAGAAATCAAAAGACAGAGTCGAGGAGATCGGAAGAGTATATTTGGCGATGACCAATATATCGGGATTCTCTGATCTAATCTGGCTAGCGATTGTGGTTGATGTTGAGCACGGCGTTACTACACGTGATCTGGTGCGGATGCCTGACCGAGCGCCTTCAGCTAGATGAGTCCACTAAAACATATGGTCAGCATCCAATGTCGAAAACTTACAGAGCTATTTATTTTAGGGATTTATTTACCGCTACAGTCAGCATCCAATGTCGAAAACCTAGAGCTATTTATTTTGGGGATTTATTTACCGCTACAGGTACTTTGCGTAGTTGGGGAGAACGCAGAGTAGCGTGAATGAGGTGAACAAGAAACGAGAACAAGTGAAAAAGTGAGCCGATAACACAATCCACCTACATTTATTAATGAAGGCAACAAATACTCAGCAGTAACACAAGCTTCCCATAAAGTTAATCTTGAAAGTAAAACTAGAAGCAAATAGTTTAATCCGCTAAAGCACTGTGCTCTTAATTTCGGGCGAATATGAACGTGGTGCAACCCTAGTTCTGATTGGTTCACTCAAGGCCGTCCTGGCGGTACTTTTACCCTACGCTCTTAGCATACAATTGTATGTTCTCAGAGTTCAGAGCCAGTACTTCTGTTCATTTCTAGGTTTTCTAAATAATCGCTCTGATAGATCACCAGTAACGGCATCGGTTGTATTTGTATGACTAAACATAAGGAGGGTCGTCAAAGTACTTCGTTGTTTCGTCTTCTGAACTTTGAACTTTTCGTCAAACCAGTAATATGAATCTTAATGTTAACTTGTCTAGAATAAGGTCGTAATATCTTTTGGGTTATCTGCAATAACTGGGTGTGTCGCATATCTGGCCTACCTTAATTTGACTCATCAGCGTTCTCAGGATCTTGCAGCAAGTAGCAACATCAGTAATAACCATAAGTCTAACTGGGACTGATCTTAGAGATGCCACTCTACAACACAGTATTGTATATTCCTCCCATTGAACCCCCAAGAATCACTGATTTCGACTCCAGCGCTTCTCACATTAACGACGATAGAATTAAAATTGCTGAAGTAGAAGCTTGTTTTGGAGAATTTGAGGCACAACTTTCTAAGGTAAATTTTTCATTCCTGTAACTCATTTTTGTATTAGTCTATGGATATCTCTCTAGCGCTCCTCGTTTTGCGTTCAAAGAATAATAAATAATCTGCTCTTCTTAATGGTTTAGTAGTCATATTACGAAACTGTGCAGGTGTGTACATGGTTACATTGTAGAATCTTATGTAAATTAACTACTTTGCCGTTCTAATCACGTCATTAAGCTTTTATAACAAGCATATGATGAGCACATCTTTCTTGTAAGTATGAGACAAACCACAACCGGGATAACTATACTAATTTGTGCATCAACGTGGAAAAGGCTATTAAATGGAATATCAGTTATCCTATAAAAAATACCTTAAAAAGGTTTTGTTAGATCTTCAAAATGGCCAGTGCTCCTTAAACCACTTGTCGCTAGTCGTAAAATTATTGTTCCGTCCCATCCTTTAAAAAATATTGCTGCTTTCTTCACATTCATATTGTAGTTAACTATCGAGTAAGGGTACTAATTCTACTTCTCTTACTGTTTACTGCTTTAAGTTACCGAGTTTTCGAGAGCCATTAGGACGTAGATTCCAGGACACATTGTTCTATGAAACATACACTCTAGAATTCAAACAGATAAATGGTTCTGCTGATCAAAATATTTGCATAACAAATGTCGAATTCCAGTGTGTTAGGTAAATTAATCACTTCTGCAACTAGCACATAGACTTGTATACTCATGTATGGGTGTACAGTAAGCTTTTCCTTGGAGTTACTGTGAATGGTGGTCATCCAAAAAGTATTCGTCCCTCTTTAATTACTTACATTCCTATTACACCGATCGGTTATAATTTAGGATCCTTTCAAAATATTGTTTCACCAAATTAAAAGTACAAAGACACTACTGATTAAGTTCCAACTAGGGACCTCAATATTTTCGATAGTCTCTTCTAACTCGTAACAAGTGAAATTATGCTAAAAGACTAGTGTTCCGCTAAAAAGTTAAATTAAAACATGAGAATATAAGTCTGAGTCCTTCAAAATCTGTAGGCTCTTTTTGTACACCGTTACCTTACATCACCGAAAGGTAACTATAGTTTTTGCCCCCAAATGCCCTGCTACGGCCGAGTGCGGAGAGCCCTCTCTCTCTCTCGAAACGCTTTCACATGGCCGCGCGTATATAGCGTCTGCCAGGGAAGTCCTACTCACTGCCTTCTCGTGGCGGGGGTGTTGTTTACGAAAATGAGAGGACGAAAAGCGAATGTCCGGGTTGGTAGATATGGCGGACCTACCTATGGGAGTTGGGAAACCCTGATTCCAAACCAATGGTGCACATGGGCTCCAGTATCCTGAATGAAGAAATGGCGTATGAACCTTGTACCAATATCTATGTGTTAGAACAAATAAATAAAACATAGTTTAGGATCATAAAACTTGAAATTGGTTCGTGATATAGATGTTGAAAATTAACATTCTTTATGTTCTAGATATATTTCTATAATTCTTAGTCTCTATCTATACTTTCGTTGCCTTCTACTTCTTTCGGCTCTCTTATTAAGTTCCTGTTACATTACTGGCGTTTAATGTGAAAATTTAAACCTACAGTTGCACGACGTTCGCATTTCCAGCTACCTCTACCACATTTCCTACAAACATACGTAGTCTGCTTGAATGCTTTATGAAAAGGGAGACTTATTGTTTATTTATTTATTTGAACACATAGATATTAGTACAAGGGGGCACCAGACACATATGCGCCACACATTTGTGAATTAATTAACATCTCATCAAATTTGTGTGAGGGCTGTGATGTTGCTCGGGTGCCTGAACCGAAGCAGGTGTCCGCCAACCCGGTTAGAGCGCCGGAAATTCGCTTTTCGTCTTAATTTCGTGGACAACACCCCCGCCGCGAGAAGACAGTAAGTAGGACTTCCCTGCCAGAGGCTATGTACGTGTGGCCAGTGAGAGCATTTCAAGAGGGAAAGCGGCTCTCCCCACTCTCAGCCGTATCAGGGCATTTGGGGGCTTATTGACTAGATGCCAGTTTGCTGAAGTCATTTTTGGCCGGCAACTAGAATATTCGATGTTTTCTACTTAACGAAAATTAGGAATTTTTACTAATTCATCTACCAGGTGCGCATTCATATACCTGACTTCGGACAACACCTTAAGCACAAGGGCTAGTGATGTTACTCAGTTACCCATACTGAAATAGGCGAGTCAAGATTCAAACCCATGGCTTGGTGGATGAAGATCGGACTCCTTAACCACTGAACTACTGGGTTTAATCGTGACTTGCAACTACTTCATTTGATTAATTTTGTTCGTCTTATCAACTAGTGTTTTTTCTTTATATACTAGCTTTACACTTAACATCGTCATTGTATACTCACAATGCTTCAAAGAATTGCTTAATAAATAGTCGGTTTTATAATGGTATAACTTGTTTTTCCGCGACTACTCCATTGCACTGAAGAATCACTGAACAAAATATCCATCAGTTGACATTTTTTGCAACTATATTTATGCTTCTCAAGATGTTTCATTGTCTGTTTTACTGACTACATTTAACTAGCAAAACCCACTATAGTTTAATTCATGAATCTATCTGAGTTGAAACACCGTTGAAAACTTGGGAGTACTGGACGGCCGTTTCGCCCCTCAGTGAGCATTCATGACCCCCCACGCGGAACTTGAACCTAACACCTTCAGTTTCACGCGCAAACGTTTAGTCTCTAGACCACTGAAATGGCATCCAACAGCATTAATGCCTAACCTCAATCGATCCATGATCTTGCGCAACTCTCCACCCATTGTCTGAGGTAGATAACTATCTCCACCCAACACGGACTGGACTCCACTGGTCACAACTTCTCACTAGAACTTTAGGAAATCCATCTTGAAGCTACTCAATAGTGAGCAGTCAGTCAGTCAGTAACAACGTAGAACTTCGTACGTACGTACATCAGTTCGAGTTGCCACACCACATTAGCACAGAGATGCAGTTGTCGATTCAAATCCCGTAGTGGTAGAGGTAATAAGAGTATAAGCAGTAATCGGGAAGATTAGGGTTTGGAGATGTTATTTAAAGAGTATAATCCAGTGAAATAAATTTGGAAAGAGGAAAAAAGGGACATGAAGAATTCAGAAGATTAGAATTTGGGAGAACACAGAGAGTGGATGCACCTGCGCCATTGCAAACGATTTTGAGCCATGTCATTCAGGGTCTCTAACCATCGGTTGCTATCATCTCGCGGTCCCCAACCAGGTAGTCTACACCTACCAACATGACTCAGTTCACTTGTCAGTGACTTCATGGATTTGTGCCATGTTTTGGTTTGGCCGCCCCTAGCTTTCTTCCAACCTACTCCTATACCACTGAACATAGCACGTCGAGGCAGTCGGTCGTTGGGCATACGTAACACGTGTCCCAGCCATCTCAACTGATGAAGTTTCACTACGTCATCAATTGATTTGCCATCCTTACCTAGTACCCGTTTCCTAACAACTGTGTTACTTACTCGATGGTCCCATGATATACGAGCAATATTTCGAAGACACCTATGATCAAATACTAGTAACCTACGGATATCCTCTACTCTTACCGGCCATGTTTCACTGCCATAAAGTAGGACGGAACGAACTGCTGCGCAGTAAACACGTCCTTTGGTTGATAGACGGATATCTCGCCTACGCCATAAATGACGCAAGTTGGCAAAAGCTAGTCGAGCCTTCTGTATCCGTGCTGAGATTTCGTCACACACTAAACCACAAGGGCTGATGAGACTTCCAAGATAAGTGAAGCGGTCGACACACTCAACTACTTCACTCCCTATCACTAGTTCGGGTGTCGATGTAACCCAATCCTGAAGCAACATTTTGCATTTCGAGGGAGAGAATCGCATCCCGAACATGCTTGCATTGTTGCTTAGAGTGGTCAGAAGACTCTGCATTTTGTCAGCGTCTTCACCAAATAAAACTATGTCATCTGCATATTCTAAGTCAACAAGTGAACCTCCCGGTAGAAGTTCAACCCCTGGAAATTTAGATGAGGAGAGTGTTATCTCTAAAAGTACGTCGACCACAAAGTTGAACAAGAATGGGGAGAGTGGACAGCCCTGACGAACACCACTTGAGGTAATCAATTCTGATGACAGTTCGCCATAAGCTCTCACTCTACCAGTTGTGTTCGAGTAGAGAGCCTTTATAAGGTTAATGTACTTCTTTGGTACTCCTTTCAGTGACAAACACTGCCATAGAACCTCACGATCAACAGAGTCGAATGCCGCCTTAAGGTCGAGAAATACTACCATTGTGGGGCGTCTGAATGTGTGTCTGTGTTCTAGAACCTGACGTAGTGTGAATATCTGATCTATACAACCACGTCCAGGTCGAAAACCGGCCTGGTTTTCTCTAATCTGCTCTTCACGAGCTTTGATTAGGCGTCGAAGTATTATTGAAGCTAAAATTTTAGACACTATATTAGTCAAACTGATTCCTCTGTGATTGTCACAAGAGGACTTTTGTCCTTTCTTATAGACTGGCACAATCAGTGATTGAGACCAGTCAGATGGGATTACGTCCAGTTCCCAAATTCTACCTAAGACCTCGGTTAATCTCAGTAGTGAGCATATGATTACTATCAGAATGGTGATGTAAATTGAACCGACTCATGAATTCAACTATTAAAAGTGCTACTATCTTCACAAATCCCCACTTTGATAAAACTCACTATTTTGAGGACCACGTTCAGGTGACCTTGCAACTGTTGTTATTACTCGAATAAGCAATTTAAAGTATTTTACTTCTTTGCTTTATACTTGTTCCTCCTCCTTCGAGAGTTTTTTATTCATCTCTTAACAATCCGGTTTCTACGTACCGTGATTACACTTGACTGATTCTTTATTTCTCATCAAATTAATTCTTATGTCATTTTCATAACAATTATTCAAAGTAGGTTTTTGTACTTTTTTATCTTCAGTTTTGCCATTGTAGTCAATCGAATGATGTTCATACTCCATGTTGTGTGCCTGGAGCTGGAAATTTTACACATCCAGTGAATGAAAGATACCTACGTCGTACTGTAGATGAACAATTAAGAGATCTTACACTTGAAGGTGAACGTAATCGAACACGTGTTGATCGCGATCCTCAGAATAGTAATTTTGATCGAAACTCAATTTCCATCTTACATCGACGTGGAAGATTTGACTCACACAGAGCTCAGGATTCTGTTACACAATCCTCAAGTGAGCTACCTCAAAATTTTAACGAATCCATGACTGCAGGCGGAATAGCTGAGGCGGAAAGCAGTGATAATTTTCTTGTGGATGAAGAAGAAGCAGAGGCTACAGTTGCAACAGAAGAAGAACTTGATGCCACGGAATAAACCTTCTCGATCTTTATTATTTCGAATTATTAAGTGTTATTATTCCCATTTTGGGAAATCCCCCAACTGATGCTCATGTCAGAGATGTAAATATATATGTAGTAACTTGTTATTATGTTATTGCTTCATCTTCCAATCTGTAGGTCTTCAGACCAACTGGACTTCATAGTTTGAACTTTTTCGTAAGTTATTACAAATTCAGTGTCTCCTTCTTTTTCATAATAGACTTAAGTAAAACGTAGTTAGCATATATTTCTTTGTGTTTCAGTTAACTCACAGTTATTGTATGTCACAACAAATAGGACTTCATAGGTGTTCAAATATTCATTGGAGAAACAATTTTTTAATATGTGACCATCAACGACTTCTTTTCTGATGACCAGTTGCATTACTGTTCACTTCAAATAGGAATGTAAAAAAAGCATTACATCTAACACTCTTGATAGAGTAAAAAGTCGATCTAATTTTGTCACTAGTTAGCAAATAGGCAACTTATAGTTTATTTTTTAATTATTTGTCATGAAATGTTTATTTCATGAATAATCCATTAGACATGATTTTCAGGATTGTAAGAGGTTCTAGGAATTACAAGGTTATATTATAACCTTATATAAAGAACTTAATACAGTGGATAATGTTAAAGGAATGTTGCTTGCTTTGTGACAATCATTTTTATCCTTGGTTAGTTATTTGTGATTTGTTAAGTAACTCTTGATCGTAATATACAAGTTAGGTATTTTTCGTATGGTCAGCCTTAATTCCGTTATATATATAATCAGTTGGACACTTTTTCATCCTTTAAAATTTGTTCTATTCATGACTTGAGGATTTGTCTCATGAACAAATTATCAATCGGTTCAGTCATCCTAGTATTTTATCAAATCAATTTTTCTAACTATTGAGACAATATTGTACACCGTGTCTTTGTAAATATTCTAATTTTGTATGTTAATAGAGATTAGATTGTTCAGAAATTGATTTCTGTTGTAAATTGTATTTAATGTGCATGAGCCTATTGTTTGTCAATTGTTTGTTTATAATATGATGAAATATCTAAATCGTGGAATCAGCTTATTAAGTCATTGAATTTTGATCTGATAGATGTTAGCAGATGCAGACTACCTGGCCAGGTTTCTTGTGGTGACCAAAATTAGTGGTTAAAGATGTTGAATGACATGGCCTGGTATCAGTCGGATTGGTTCAGATACATCCACTTTTTATCTTCTCTTAGATTTTATATTTCACTATGCTATCATAATTACACTTTCATTGTTTCCTGACTGTAGCCTTAATCTCCTGATCTGGTGTGCGTATCTCAATGGCCTGGTCGGGCTATATTTGTCGAGATTTTCGTTCCCGTAGGTCCTACCGTACCAGATAGGTTGTTTGGAGAGCCGTAATACTAAAATCAGCAAATTCATGGTATGTGACGTCACTAAAGTGTTTCCTTAAGATAACTGGCTTCTGCAGCAACGTAGCCTTCTCATACGGAAGGAGAGGGTTCGGAAAGGTCTACCTTAAAAATGTTACAGTTTACCTCAATCCACGGATTTCCGTCTCCTGCGGTAAGGCCTTAAAAGTATGGAGCTAACTCATCTGAAACTATCTAGTTAGTTGTCTTTTGGGATCTAGGACCACTCTACTAGGCCATTCTTTCTTGCAAACTGTGACGATCATCAATCAAGGTAAGCCAGATGGGATTACCTTCAGTTCTCGAATTCTAGCTCGTATCCCAGTCAGTGCTACAGCTAAAACTGGGCCACCATTTCTAAACATTTCTGGAGCTAATCCATCAGAGCCTACTTCTCTTCTTCACTTTAGGTCACCCATAGCCTCATCAACATCATTAAAATGTGGTCGACTTGCTTCAATTTCCCATCCAAGTTGATTGCGGATAGACAGTAACTGACCGTAGCTGCTACTTTGACGTGGTGGTCGAGCTTGCCTATCGTGATGACCCAACCGAGTTATATTGGCTGGAACATATGTTCCTGTATGTTCTACCATGTCAGGCAGGTCGATTGGAGAACGGTAAGACTAAAAGCAGCAACTCAAGGTCTGAGGGCGAAGTCGTACTGCTGACTGTAGAGGGGTGTGACAGCAGTAAGGTGTTTCCCTTCGGACAACCAGCATCTGCAGCGATGCTACCTTCTCACAAGGAAGGAAGGGGTTAGAAAAGGTCGATTCTAAGAATGTCACACCTCACCTTGCCTCACGGATTTCCGTCTCCGGCGGTAAGGCCCTTTGAAGGACGGAGCTAACACGTTAAAAACTCCCCACAAAAAGGTCGTGCGTGACCGGATTCGAGCAGTTGTCCCTTGGGTTCTGCGGTCACGCGCACAGGTCGTTAAGACTAACACTAATCCAAGTTCTTTTTCATGTCCCTCAAGAAATACTTTTGCACGGTGTGGGCAGCTGGAAAGTGACACCAGCCTTCATACCCGTAACAGCACACGAGACCAAGTTGGTCACAATCAAATTCTTCCTACACCCCCTAATAATTCTTATCTCCATCACTAACCCTTCTCACGTCTATTTATCACCTCGCACCGCTAATGCAAACGATTCGAGTACGCGGAACGTTATTCCCGATCTCCTGAAACTACGCTCTAAACTACACGTAGGAGCTTTTAACGCCCGAACACTGTGCTAAGTAGGACAACAGGTTTCCTTAGCTAGGGCTTTAGAATCTCGCACCATCGATATGTGTTCGTCTCCGAAACGCGCATACAGGATCCGAGTAGCGTCATCTATTTGACCTCACCATGCCAAAATAAAGAACCGACTCGATTCACACTTCGTGTATCTGGAAGCCCAGATGCTGCTTCTCGTGGACTCGCCGGCGTAGGTGTAGCATTGAGTCCTAGGGCAGAACTAGCTCTCTTAGGGTGGATCCCAGTAGACAGTCGTTTGTGCGTTGTCCGACTAAACGGAACAGTAAGGACTTGGGAAGGTAGGGACACTTGTCGTTGCCTCTTCGTTGTCTCTGCATACTCTCCCACTGACTGCAGCTCAGATGAACCAAAAGATAAGTTTTGTAGAAAGCTTTCTGACCTCCAAAAGGCTAGGCGCTCTGATGTAGTAATCATGGCTGGTGACTTTAACGCTCAAGTAGGTAAACTAAGCGACAAGTGAAGACACCTGGGTGGATCTTATGGTGTCGTGGCTCAAAGAATAGATAATGGCGACTGTCTGTTTTTAGCAAATGCTAACTTTAAGCATAGGGAAAAACATCTTTTAACATGGCGACCCCCTAATTCGTCCCAACGTTGGACCCAAATAGATCACATCGCTATCAGTCACCGATGGAGGGGCTCCACAGAAGACTGTCGCTCATTCTGGAGCACATGCTTAGATTCAGATCATGCTCTAGTACGAGCGCGTATCTGTCTGCGTCTTACTGGACGTAAGAAAGACGCTGCAAGGAAACCTCTTAGGGTTATACTTAATGATAGCCAGGCTAAGAATATATTTGAGGAACAACTAGAAAAACAGTTAGGTATCCATTTAAGTGATGCTCACCCTAAGGCGGCTTGGAATGATATCCGAAAAGCTGTGGAAACAACAGTGATATCTGTTAGTACGGTAAACCACTAGGTTAGGGAGAAACACTGGATCTCTGCAGTATCTACCGCACTGATAGATGCTCAGAAACTCATTCCACCTGGCTCTGAGCATGACGAAGAGTGGAGTCAGCTTAAGCTCAGGTTGATAAGTCTACTCAGTGATCGCGAACGTTGGTGGGTATCGAAAGCAAGGGAGATGGAAAAGGCAGTGGCAGTAGTTAACAGCAGACAACTGTTCAGACTTATCAAGGAAACCGGTATTGGGAATCCAACCGCTTGTCTCGATAGGCAGCGTTTACTGGTGGAAAGGTACGTTAGAAGAAAGCTAAGAGTACCCAATATAAACGTAATATCAGTGTATGAAGCCACTGGCTATTGGTCTGAGTCATGTTGATCAATCCAAACCACCTGGTTGGAGTCCTCGAGATAACTTTCATTAGTGACTGGAGACCATAGGTAACATTGCTCAGAATCTTTCACAATGGCACGGATACATTCACTCTCTTTATCTTCCTCTTGATATTTAGTCTCAGTATCCCTTCAAATGTACGTTTCCGCTCTGTCTCTTCGATCCCTGTTTCTAATGCATGGGTGTTTTTATTATCATTGCTGGTCCGGTGTTCCACTCATTTGAGGTTGGTGAAGCTTCACTCGGTAAAGCCCATGGGCTTATCTGTATCAGGTTCTACCTCCCAAGGCTCACGAACCTACCTCGTGGGCCCGATTTCGTGCGGAAATCGTCGGAAGCCTCGGTTCTCGGTACCTGGGCGTCGCACCAACGGCAAGTATAGCCTACGCACACACAAATTACACACACATTTCCATGCATCCCATAGGTATATTCACCCACCTGGTAGTGTAGATAATCACCACTCCGTTTAAGCCTATTTGCCACATTGACTATCTCGTATGCATTATATACATACTACTGGTACAAAAACTTCCATGCATTTCATGGCACACACATAAACATAAGCACTCGGGAAGGGTTGATGGTCACCTCCTATTATTGTTTGCTGTCACACTCAAAGTTACATGCACGAATCTGTAGACAATAATAAGTTAGGCGGAATAGGAATATTCGCGGAATAATGTTATGGAACAGATATAAGAACTCTGTTTAATACTTCTTTACTTTATAGATTTGAAATGAATGTCAGTTTGTACAGAAAACAGTTCAACAAAGTTTTCCTTCAGTTAAATAAACTTCACTTGTCAGTCAGTTATAATCAACTTAGAGCCTTGAATAAATGTGTGTTAGCCTAAGTTGTTATACCATATTGGCATGATGAGATAAAATTAAAATGATGAATGTCAAACAAAATCAAGATAATATAATAGCAATACCAGAGAGAAAGATTAGGCATTGAGCATATGATTCAAATAGACGGATGGGAAGGCGTATATGGAGGATTACTGGTACTTGGAATATAGAATAAGATACAAAGTAAATATACCTACACCATTGAGAACGATTATGAACCATGTCACTCATCGTCTTGTGATATTCCAACTTGACTGTTAATATGATGACGAGAATATAGGGATTCAGGGGATGATGTTACTCAGTCAATTGTTTTCGTGTAGACGTTTGACGAATGACTTACTAGTTAAGGAACTTGATTTTGGTCAGCTTGCCCATAGGTTCAAATCTCATTCCATTTTTATCCTGGATAGTCGAGTAGTGTCACTAGGCCTTACACAATTAGTGTTATTCGAAGTTAAGTACTTTATATTGTACTTTGCACCCAAATGCTCTGGTACGGCCGAGGGTGGGTAGAGTCCATTCTCTTTTTCCAAATGCTCTAACATGGCCACGCGTATACAGCCTCTTCTAGAAAAGTCCTACTCACTGCCTTCTCGCGGCGGGGGTGTTATTTACGCAATTGAGAGGACGAAAAGCGAATGTCTGACGCTCTAACCGGGTCGGTGGATATGGAGGACCTACCTAAGGGAGTTGGAAAACCCTGATTCCAAACCATTGGTGCACATGGGCTCCAGTATCCTAAGGAAACAAATGGTGTATGAACCAATCGTCGGTCACCAGCTACCATGTGACTGGATCTCTTGACGTTACTCCACTGTCTTTTAGATCATACCTTTAGGTCGTAGGCTCCGAGTGTGGCCCCCAAGAAAACCACCTGCTTCAGTTTGGGCACCCGAGCAGTATCACAGCCCACACACACAAATCAAGTGACTTGTGTGGCTCATATGTATTCGGTGCCCCTTTATACCAATATTTATGTGTTCAAATAAATGAATAAATATACATTTCGCAAAACGGGCTACATTATAAACGTTTTGTAAAAGCAATTATGACTTTTTGCAGTTAGAAGTAAGTAAAGCCCAGTTGTCATTAATTATTAATCATTAACAAATAAAAGGTGAAGATTATTTTAAACAAAATAAATACAAACAACGAAATGGATCTGGGACATTGCACTTATTCACAGAACATCAAGTTAGTAGGTTTAGAGAGTAGTAAAACAAAACATGACATTTTATGTCTTCCTTTGTATTAATATGTAGTTTTTATATACTTTATCTACTATAAACTAGTATCTAGTCCTACGTTGTAGCTGACTGACTGATCTAGTCAAAAATACAAATTAGATAATACATTCTATGAATTAACTAACTTTTGGTTCTATCTATACGATCAGATTAGGACTAATCCAATTATAAAGGCTTTCAAATATTTGATAGTTGATGAAAGCTTCAAAATCATTCAATGATGATATTGTTAACGTAGTTCTATATTTTTGTTTGTTTCTTTTTATAATCGTTAAATAATAGCATCTACAACTAGAATCATTCATAAAGAATCCATGGAAATCAGTCAGTCTATTCAAATCCCATAGTAGTAGAGGTAGTAAGAGTATAAGCAGTAATCGGAAACATTAAGGTTTGGAGATGTTATTTAAAGAGCATAATACAGTGAAATAAATTTGGGAAGAGAAAAAAAGAGACAAGGAGGAATCAGGAGATTAAAATTTGGGAGAACACAAAGAGTGTATGCACCTGCGCCATTGCAAACGATTTTGAGCCATGTGATTCAGGGTCTCTAACCATCGGTTGCTATCATCTCGCGGTCCCCAACCAGGTAGTCTACACCTATCAACATGACTCAGTCCACTTGTCAATGACTTCATGGACATGTGCCATGTTTTGGTCTGGCCGCCCCTAGCTTTCTTCCAACCTACTCCTATACCACTGGACATCGCACGTCGAGGCAGTCAGTGGTTGGGCTTACGTAACACGTGTGCCAGCCATCTCAACTGATGAAGTTTCACCACTTCATCAATTGATTTGTCATCCTTACCTAGTAACCGTTTCCTAACAACTGTGTTACTTACTCGATGGTCCCAGAATCCATCGAAATACCTCAACTTCAATGAAATTTTCCTCTTGTAGTTTATATCAATTTATACATTTTGATTTTTATCACTTATATATGATTTATGTGCTCAACACCAAGTAATAAATAATAAGATTAGTGAATTTTCCATTCAAAGTAGAATGTTATGACATAGTAACTCACTAATGACAATGGTGGATGGTCACGCACTTTCATGGATTGGTTGAAGTTAGACATTAACACTGTTAGATGCCGACTCTGTGGTCTACAGGTTAAGCGTTAGCGCGCGAGACTGATAGATTCCGGGTTCGAATCTCGTGAGGCGGGCTCGTGGATGCGCACTGTTGAGGAGTCTCACACTAGGACGAGACGGCTGTCCAGTGCTTCCAGGTTTTCCATGGTGGTCTAGCTTCAATTGACTCATGAATTCAACTACTGAATTACTATAATATCCACAAAACCCCTCTCTGATTAGAATGATTTTAGATTCGGTATTTAATGTTCAAACGCCAATATATTTCAAAATTTTGAAGTGACAGTTAGACTAGAGTATGTGAAATCATACAAAATTACACTTAACAAGTAGAAGAAATAAAGATATATAGAACAATTCAGATTGTAAATAGTTGTTATGTGTTTATTATTTATCATGGGATAACAAATAGGTTTATCTAAATATTATTAACTGACATCCTTGAAGATGGCTGCACTTATTCATATGTTATGTCTTATCTAACTTATCAGAATTTGAGTAATTTACTTACGCCTGTTACTCCTCGTGAAGGAGCATAAGCCGCCCACCCACACTCTTCACCCAATCCTGTCCTGGACAATCATTTCCAGCTCTTTCCATTTGTTATTAATCCTTTTCATATCTGCTTCTATTTCCCGACGTAATGTGTTTTTTGGCCTTCCTCTTTTCCACTTCCCTTCAGGATTCCAAGTTAGAGCTTGTCACCTGATGCAGTTTGCTGATTTTCGCAATGTATGTCTTATCCACTTCCAACGTCTTTTCCTAATTTCCTCTTCAGTTGGAAGCTGGTTTGTTCTCTTCCACAGTAGACTGTTGCTGATTGTATCCGGCCAATGGATGTTGAGTATCTTGTGTAGACAACTATTTATAAATACTTGTGTGTTTTTGATGATGATTTTAGTAGTTGTCGAAGTTTGAGCTGCGTATATTAGAACTGTGTTGACGTTCGTATTGAAGATTGTGAGTTTGTTATTGGCTTGGAGACATTTGTTTTGAGTTTTATATATTGTTCAATTGTAGGAATGCTGTCCTTGCTTTACCAATCCTCACGTTTACATCTGTATCTGATCCTCTTTGTTCATCGATGATGCTTCCCAGTTATGTGAAGGATTTCGCATCTTCCACCTGTAGCTCTTCTAGAGTTACTACGGGTCCTAAACCTGAGTAAAGGAGGGGAGTTGGGTATGGGGTCGGCAACCCTATCCGTAGAAAAAAATCTTTCTAAAAAAAGCACCAACCAGATTCAACAAATTTAAGTAATGATTCAACATTAATTTCAAAGTATATGAGTATCTTAAACACTGTCGATTAGATATGTGTATTACCAAAAAAATTTGGATTTTTTTAAAAGGAGTACGATTATTAGTGCATACCAAGGTTTCTTCATTTTAAAGTTCGTATCATTTCTAAACAGACTATGTGTATTCACTTCACTTTAAGTGTTGCATTTGTAAAAGAAAAAAAAAGAGATCAAACTATGTATTTAAAGAAGTCCAATTTGATAATTCAGTTTACTAACAGTTGTATATGGTAGCTCAATGTGATTTCCTTTAATTGAATTACATTTTATTGAACAATTCCATTGCGGATATAAGTTTGTTGCAATTACCTATATATGATTGTATATAAAGCATGATATTATACCCTTCTAACCTATATCGAACTATAAACTTACTTACTTACGCCTGTTACTCCTAATGGAGCATAGGCCGCCGACCAACATTCTCCAACCCACTCTGTCCTGCGTCCCATCCAATTCTTGTTCATTTTTCTCATGTCTATTTCCATTTCCCGGCGTAATGTGTTCTTTTGTCTTCCTCTTTTCCTTTGGCCTTGAGGATTGCATGTAAGGGCTTGTCTTGTGACGCAGTTAGGTGCTTTCCTCAATGTGTGTCCTATCCACTTCCAGCGCTTCTTCCTGATTTCTTCCTCCGCTGGGATCTGGTTTGTTTTTTCCCACAGTTGGTTGTTGCTAACAGTGTCCGGCCAACTGATCCGAAGTATTTCACGTAGACAACTGTTAATAAACACCTGTATTTTCTGGATGATGGCTTTCGTAGTTCTCCAGGTTTCTGCCTCATACAGTAGAACTGTCTTGACATTTGTATTGAAAGCCCTGACCTTGGTGTTGGTTGACAGACAGTTGTTTTGAGTTCCAGATGTTCCTCAGTTGTAAATATGCTGCTCTTGCTTTGCCGATATATCGAACTATATGATTGTATCAAATTGAAATATTTAACAACTTAGTGCTTCTTTCATTTTTTTACTTGATCCAACTACTTAGGTGCATATTGATATCATAGATTAGAACCCTAACCGAATTGTAATCTATTTACTTATGTATATAAAAACAGAAATACATGATTTCCTTAATTGAAGTTGGTTAGAGCACCATTGAAAACCTGGAAGCACTGAATGACCGTTTCGTCCCAGTATAAGACTTCCAAGCAGTGCGCATTCACGACCTAGCACGCGGGACTTGAATCGAAGACCTTCGATCTTGCGCACGAACACTTAACTTCTAAACCATTGAGCAGGCATCTAAAAATGACTTCGTTTTTTTAGTGATAATAGTTATCATTATCATCCTATATGGAAAGCTAAGACAAATTCAAATGTGGGATTGATGTGGAAACATATGTCAACATACTCGTAAAATAATAACTGATCACTAAACATACAAATCTTGTGGCAATGATCTTTTGATGTTTTGTATGTGTGTATATAATTCTCTCATTATTTTGTATAACAGCTAATGTGTTTGTGCATCATTGAGTTAATTCAAGGAATTGAATATCAGTTATATTATACACTACTCATACATTTATAGTTGATAAGATATCATAGTCAGTAATTAACAGGAATTAAGAGTTATACTATTTCTCTAGGGATTTCGACAGTTGATGCGAGTGAAATTACGCAACAGTAACGACAAGTATGAATAACAAGCGAGAAAATAATCGATCTAGTTAAATACCCTACGGTAGTTATTCTAATGATTCTGAATATTGATTAATCATTCAATTATTTATCTATGGTATATATTGATCTAAACATACTTCAGTGAACTGGAAGCCAACCAATTAAGTGTTTGATATGGTTATAAGGTCAATTTTTCACACTACTGCTCTATAGCAATGAGCTACAGGGGAAAATCATCCATGAACTTAAGAGCTTTTGATCTCCAGTGTCAGTAAATCATGTGTTCTTTATCAAACAATGTGTTTGATAAAGTGTTTATACAGTTTTCATAGTGGACTAGTATCACTCGGAGGACCATTGAAAATACAAGAGTGCTAAACAGCTTCTTTCTCGTCAGTTGGGTTTTTAACAAAAGTGTGCATAACTTTACGCTGAATTTTACAATGAACACTATCCAACCATTCAGTAAAATGAACAAATGGTCCACATCTTTCCAGCTCATTCGTTGTGCTATATATGACGATCCTCATCCATTGAATTTTTAAATCGTTTGGTGGAATTCTGTCCAGGCTTTTTGGGGAATGCTGATTAAAACTTTCAAAATAGCTGTCCATCATTATTTAATTCCTAATGGTTGTCCGATTGGTTTCATTTCGTGGAAAAGAAACTATCCTTAACATCATATCTTTATAAACTACCATTCTTCATGATTGATAAAATTTGTATTTCTATACTACAAATTCATTTCTTCTCATTCTGAGAGTATGCAGTTGTGTAGTGGGAATCATACGTTTTTTAAACCTTTACTATCGATGACAAAGGAACGTAATTTGTTGACTGGTATTTTAGTTTAACTAAGTATATTAATTTTATCTTAAATATATTTTAGCAAAGTTACAAAGTGTATTGAACACTGTCGTACTATTTGTACAATATGTATCTTGAGTGTTTCATGCATTAAATCATTGCTTCACTATCAATTTATATTGATATAAGCTATATCACTTTAAGGGTGATATACATTCTTTCTATGTATTGTATTGTCTCTTCCACGGTGTGGGCAACCAGGAGGTGATAACCGCCCTCATAGCTCTAACAGCACTCAAGATCACTGTATTCATAGCTGATTGCATTGTCTCCTCTGTGTTTTAACATTATCATTTACTGAAAGTTTGTGACAAAAGCAACTTAGAGGATTTGAACCATCTGCATAGTTTCACAAACTGAAATGTTTTAATCAGATTTTTTTTCATTGAATTTCTTGATCATCTCTTATTTCTTCATTTCAGGTTCGACCACTGCCACCAGTTAAAAAGCCTATCACTTTAAAAACAGCTCTTAAAGCTTTTGGATTATTTTGTACATTCACAGGCAGTGGTCTTTTAGGTTACAAACTATTTGTAGCTTTACCATCATACAATGGACCAACAAGAGATTTGCAAAATAAACCAATTGTGATAACACAACCATGTTGTAAGTTATAAATATGTATTTAATGGATTTGCCATTCTTAATTACTTTTCTACAATTCGATTTTTCCTTTGTAATTATCATATTTGTCAGTGGACTGGAATGGTTATTTTCTTAATGGACTACTCTTGGAGGCTTTGAATTTTGAAGATTCGACCCACAAGGCAGTAGGGTAACATCAGTTTGATATAATCCGGTAAATAAAGTAGATTCATACATCATTCGTTCCTTCAAGATTCCGGACGCCATATACACCGTCGGCTTGAAATCGACGTTTATTTCCCTCATCCAGGTGAACTTTCCGTATCCACCGACCGGTTTAAGTTTCGGATGTACGCTTTTTGTACTCTCACTTCTGTAAAGTGTACTCCAACTGCGTGAGAGGAGTGGGTAGGACTTTCCTGGCAAAACCTGTAAACGCTTGACTGTATGCGAGTGTTTTCAGATGGATAACGAACCTTTAGTAGCAGAATAACATCAGCTGAAGTATTTTTGAAGAAAAAAAGATCAATAGTTGTGGGATTGTTAAAATTACATGCGTACGATCTCATAAGTTAATTGAGATTGAAATGTAAACTACCGGTTCCCAAATTTGTAGCTGAACGGTAATTGAACTGTCCATAAGACATGGTCTTGTATTTCACCTACTTGTAAGTGAATCATGGCTGCTTATTTCTTCGTGCAGTTATAATTCTTTTTAAATACGAATAAACATGGACTGATACAACTGGATGGTTGCATCATTTTGGTTTCAAACTGTACATTGTTAACTCTATATGTATCAACCATTTGATTGTCAAGTTTCATGTGGAATATGTTATCGCTTAATTGAGAATTAGGACTAAGCAATCGTTCTAATTTCAATCAGTTCGTGTTATTTTATTCACTAAATTATTGGCTCTTAGATTGAGCTTTATGAATAGCTACAGATTACCTGACTGAGGTCCGGCAAATTACCATGATCAGTTATTGGAGACAATAAGGTGATTAAGGTCAAAACAGATCACAAGACACAAATCCATTCACTCTATCTTCCTTAGAATTTTGAAATTGTTTGCACCTTTTATTTTGTAAACTCATTTCTTCTTCTTAAATCATATTACTTCTACCCAATCTTTTTTTACTACCATTTTATTGTTTCCACTTCTGTTACTCTGGTATTTATCTTGATAATTTCGTTTTACTGTGGTGATATGGTATGTCAAATTGAACCGATGCACATTTATCCAAGTTGTGTAACAGAAACATATTAATAATATCAGAGGTTTGAGGTGATTGTTAAATTCGTATTTCACATCACGGACTAACTTTAATGAATTAATCGTTGGAAACTAGGAAGCTCTGAGCAGCTTTTATCCAATAGTGTTGGGATTCTCATCATTGCGCACCCATAACCTTGCGGCGCACCGCATCCAGGCCGTTCATTAATTGTCACGTGTCTCTGTTCTAAAGACCATAAAGTTGGGATCCAATGGTTCACATTTGTAACTACAGTCGCCATGTTTTACATGACTATTATCCATTATCATTGGGGATACTTGTGTTACGCCCGACATACTTACCCTAGTTAAGGAGCACAGGTCCCCTCATCAGGATTCTCCATCGAAATCTGTCCTGGGAAATCCCTTCCAGTTGCTATTCATTCTTTTGATGTCTTCTTTTGATTCCTGACGCAATGTGCTACTTGGTCTTCCTCTTTTTCTTTTCCAAGTTAGCGCCTATCTCGGGATGTAGTTTGATGATTTCCGCAATGTATGTCTTATCCACTTCCAACGTCTTTTCCTCATTTCCTCTTCAGTTGGAAGCTGGTTTGTTCTCTTCCACAGTAGACTGTTGCTGATGGTATCCGTCCAATGGATGTTGAGTATCTTGCGTAGACAACTATTTATAAATACTTGTATGTTTTTGATGATGGTTGTAGTAGTTCTCGAAGTTTGAGCTGCGTATATTAGAACTGTGTTGACGTTCGTATTGAAGATTGTGAGTTTGTTATTGGCTTGGAGACATTTGTTTTGAGTTTTATATATTGTTCAATTGTAGGAATGCTGTCCTTACTTTACAAATCCTCACGTTTACATCTGTATCTGATCCTCTTTGTTTATCGATGACGCTTCCCAGGTACGTGAAAGTTTCCAACTGTTCCAGAGCTTCTCCATCAAGTGTGATTGGGTCGGTATTCAATGTGTTATATTTGAGGGTCTTGCTTTTTCCCTTGTGTATGTTGAGGTATACTGTTGCAGATACTGCTGCTACACTAGTTGTCTTCATTTGTATTTCTCGGTGTGCATACGATAGAAGAGCCAGTTCATGTGCAAAATCCAAGTTGTCTGGCTGCATGCAAGCTGTCCATTGTATTCCATGTTCTCCCTGAGATGTTCAGGTTTTCGTAATCCACCAGAACAGAAAGGACAAGAGTAAGCAGCCATGTCTGACACCGGTCCTCAGTTGTAATGTCTCTCTTAGTTGTCCTCCATACACGATTTTGCAATGTAGTCTATTGTATGTATTCCGTGTGATGTTGGCGATCTACTCAGGTACACCAGTGTCGGGGAAGGTTCCATCAGGTCACCGTGTTCAAACTGCCGAACGCTTTCTCATAGTCGAGGAAGTTGATGCATAGTGGCCAATTTCATTCAATTGATTGCTCAACGATGATCCGTATTGTCGCGATTTGGTTTGTGCACGACCAATCTTTATGGAATCCGGCCTTTTGATCTCGAAGCTGGGCATCTACTGAATCCTTCATTCTGTTTAACAACATTCTGCTGAAAACCTTTCTCGGTACTGATAGTAGTGTTATGCTTCTGTAGTTCTCAAATTTGCTCAGATTTCCTTTCTTTGGTATGTTGATGAAATATTCCTCTTTCCAGTCTGTCGACATTTGTTCTTCTTCTCAAATCTTCCTGAATAGAAGGTGAAGAATGCAGTTACTTCTATGTCAGTTTCAGCTGGTATACTCTCAGATCCTTATGCCTTCCCACTCTTAGTTTGTCTGGTGGTCATCCTGATTTATTCGATCGTTGGTGGATTGACATCTGTAGAAAGGTGTGTGTGCTGCTTCGATATTCAATGGATTAGATGGAGCTGGTCTATTCAAGAACTCCTCGAAGGAAGATAGAGAGTGTATACACCGTCGCCATTGTGATCGATTCTGAGCCATGTCACACACAGTCTCCAACCATTGGTTACGATAATCACACGACCTCATCAACTGACTTACCATCATTCCCTAATACCATGCGTCTAACCTCACTATTACTTACCCGGTGATCCCAGAATCCCAACATAACTTGTAGTCGATATCGTTCTAGATCATCATCATTCTTATCATATAGTAAGTATCGTTTATCTATCTCTATGTTTCTACATCATCTTTGAACATATATCTCATGTAATTCTGATATATATATTTCTTTGTTTTCTTTATTTCAGCCAAAATTTCCCGTGAATTAGTATATAATTTAGCTAAACAAGGTGCTCATCTCATTTTGGCTGATGATCATTGGGATAGATGTGATGAATTAAAAGAACGTTTTAATACGTAAATATGGTATGAAATCAGATATGATTGAATGTCGACGTTTAGAATTGGATAGTATGATATCAATACGTCGTTTTACTGCTAGTCTATTAACAGATTATTCACAATTAGATACAGTGATTATTCAATCACCATCATGTATTAGTAATATTATTTCTGGTAAACGTTGTTTAACACATGATGGATTTGAAAAAGAATTAGGTATAAATTATTTTGCTGCTTATTTATTAAGTCGTTTATTAATCAATCGATTAAATGAGAATAATGGACGCCTTATTCTAGTTGTTGATACCAAATCAGCTAATATAGATCAAGAGAATGTAATGAATCCATCAGAACCATCACAAATTACAATTCCATTAGATAATATTAATTGGGATAATGATATAAATTATACACCAAAGAATGCATATCGTCGTGCACAATGGTTTCTATTAATGTTTGCTGAGTAAGTTCATTATATTTTCTTTATTAATAATTAATTGTATTCAATTGAATATTGTTATACAATGCTAACCGGTGTTGAAGATAGTTGGAAGAAAGTTAGGGGCGGCCAAACCAAAACATGGCATCAGTGTTTGAAGACACTAACTTCTAGTTTGAGCCATGTTGGTCGATGCAGATTACTTGGTTGGGGTCCGCGTGACTATCGTAACCAATGGTTGAAGGATTTGGGTGATATTGCTCAGAATCGATCACAATGGCGTCGGTGTATACACTCTCTGTCTTCCCTTAAGCTATTAGATTAAAATCGCTTCATATCTTTCTTTCTATGAACTAATTCTTTCTTCCTGTACTATATCCTTATTGCAATCTTTCTTTTATATATTACCATCATTGACTTAACCACTCCTCTGAATCCGGTGTTCATCTTGCTGTGCTAATGAGGTGTGGCAACTTGGACCAATGCATATATGTGCCTGGTCCTACGTTGTAGCTGACTGACTGGATATTGTTATGTTGTTTAAGAAAATATTTTTGATCGTATTGTATTTTAATGAAAGCCCTCCGCCCAAATGCTGTAGTACGGCCGAGAGTAAGAGGAATTAGCTCTGCCTTTCGAAATGTTCTTACATGGCCACGTGTATACAACTACTGCTAGGGAAGTTCTACTCACTGCCTTTTTCGTGATGGGGGTGTTGTTTATGAACTTGAGAGAACGAATAGCGAATGTTCGGCGCTTTAATCGGGTTGGTGGTTACGCAGAGTCTACCAAGGGGAGTTGCAAAACCCTGATTCCTAATCAATGGTGTATGAACCTACTGTTGGTGACGGTCACCATAGGACTGCATCTCCTGACATTGCTCCACAACCTTGTGGATTAGACCTCTAGGTCAAAGAATCGGGAGTGGCCTCCTAAGAAAATCACTTGCTTCGGTTTGGGCACTCGAGCAATATCTCAACCCTCACACTAACCGAATGATTTATGTAGCGCATATCTATTTGGTGCTTCCTTGTACTAATGTTTATGTGTTTAAATAAATAAATAAAAATAAGAAAGAAACATTGTTACAGTATCCTGTCATTTATCTGATGAGTTTATTTTCAAGACCTACTGCTAGGTTTACTCACCAACACTTACATTGATTAACCAGTGAGCGAATAGTAATGGTCAATCAATATAAATATTTTAGTCTTACAAGTAGTTAGTTGCGGCTTGAATAGCTCAGGGGGTAGCGTCTCTAACTATGAATCCACCAAGACATATAAGTTCCACTGGAATCCGAAGTCCTTATTGACGAGTGTCAACTAATATGGGGATTATCAGTCAGTCAATCAGCTACAATAACATGGGGATTATACTAAGCAGAGCATTTTTTCAATTACCAACCACCAAACTCGGCGGTACTATAATTTACAGACGAGCTGAACACATATAAGAAAGGAGGTCTTGGATTTGGGCACGAAATTCATTCATTTGTATGGCTAGGTAATATTTTGGCATTATAGCTGATGTCAACTCAATGGAAACTATAACTCTTATTCCTAACACTAACATCCAACTGTAAATCCTAATCCTAATTCCTCACACTAATTTATAAACCCTCACTTAACCTTAGTAAGTAGGTGAATTTTTTAAGGTCACTTAAACGTCACTCGAAGGTCGTCTACAAATTATAGTCTTACCATTATTATTATTATTGTATTTCTTACTTCCACGAAAGTAAAGATGGTAACGAAATTGGTCAAAGTTCAAATTGGATGTTTAGAGGTAGTCAGAAAGGAACTGCTTCATCTGGCTCCCGTACAAGTCCATACGCGTCACCAAGTTATACCTGCAGTTCCAAGGGGAATACCGCTCCTGACGGGTTCAAACACAGACCATCCATATTATATATATACAGAATGCAATAAATAACAACAGCGAGATCGTCACCAAACTCGACTTTGAGATGTATATAACATAATCCTAAGCCACTGAGTCGCATGATCTTTAAGATCATAACCAATGAGTTGTGACTGACTAACAGACTGATATCTGTTTGTTGGTCACTTTGGTATTTCACTGAGTTGATGTCAGATGAACACTTGAGCCGATGGACATATATCACAAGTCTTAATTTACCTATAACTGACTAATTGAAAACGTGCTAGTCGTTTACTTCCACTTTTCATTTAACGGCACCTTGTCATATTATCTACAGTTTTTACACTCAATTGCGGTGTCAACAAATAATGAACAAAATAAAAGTCACCAATATGACTATCGTAAAACATTTTCAAGCTACCAAAATCAGTGCTTGATTTCGAGATCAATGAACCGGTATCGAACGGTGTTAATGTCTATCTTAAATCAATCCACGATTTTGCGTGACTATCTTCGATTGCGTTCGGTGTACAACTACCTCATACTTGACACGGTTAAACTCTATTGATCACGGCTTCTCATTAGAATTTCGAGAATTACCTCTTCAAGTTAGTCACTAGTGAGCACATGATAAATATCAGTATAGTCCAATGCTTCCAAGTTTTCAATGGGTAGTCTAACATTGATCAGCTCATCATTTCAATGGATTGCAACAATCTTCACAACTATAAACTGAGAAATACCCTGTTTGTCTGTATTTTTACTTTCAAATAGATTACTATAAATTAAGTGGCTTTTTTTAATAAAAACTCCAGTTCTTATTATTGTCAATGGTTGAAAGCATGAGTGAACTGAAGCTAGACCACTATAGAAAACTTGGAAGCACTGGACGGTCGTTTCTTCCTATTTTAGGATTCCTCAGTAATACGCATCCACGATCCCACTCAGTGATCTTGGGTTAAGCACTCGCGCGTGAGACTCATAAGTCCTTGGTTCGAATCTAGCGAGGTGGGATCGTGGATACTCACTGCTGAGGATTCCGATTGTAGGACGAAACAGCCGTGCAATGCTTCCAAGTTTTCCATAGTGGTCTATCTTCAATTAATTTATGATCTCAACCATTGAAATTACTATAATATCTACACAAAAAAAACCCTTCTTCTTATTTTTTTTTTAGTGAACTTGCACGTCGTAATTCATCAATTCAAGGTAATAAAGCATCAATTCTAGTTACAAATCCTATTGTTACACGAGGTTTAAATCCTGAAATGGATGAGAAATATTTAAATACTGAAGGAATTTTAAAATTAATCTACATGTTAATCGATGCTTGTCCACGTTTAATTAGTCGTAAAGGATCAAATACTAGTTTATTTTGTACAACTGTTGATTCTTCTATTATTGATTCAATAAATGATCAATCTATTGTTCATTGTGCTCCAATCTATCAAGATTTACGTTTATTAATTTCTTCGAAACATATAGATCAAACTATTGAAAATAGACGTTATGCATCAGAATTATTATGGAGATTAAGTGAAAAATGGACTCGATTAGATACTCATCCTAATCCATTACCATTACCTAATAGACCATTAATAAAGAATAATAATAATAATAGTAAACTATTAGATGGTAAAGTTGAAACTGTCTCAACAATTCATGCATAAATTGTAAAGGATATATCTGTTTTAATAAATATACCATAAGCTATTTCTTTCATTCTTATTAGTTACTACTACTATTGTCAATTATTTAATTTTATGGTGACACTTGAGGAGGAAGCCAAAAGAGGAAGTTGAAAGTGGATGTAGGAGGAATAATAGGAATTGAAGTGGGAGGTTGATTATGAATACATTGGTCTTGAGTGCTGTTAGAAGTATGAGGTCGATTATCACTTCCCGGTTGCCCACACCGTGGAAGAGTTCTTCTAAAGGAGGTACCTGGAAAGGAAATTGGGTTAGAGGGTGGTATTAGTGACCTGAGAGCGTGACTGCAGTGCTCAAGAGATAACTGCTTGAGGTCGGTCACACGCTACCTTTTTGTTAGTGATTTCCGCGTTAGCTCCGTACCTGTTGAGACCTTAATATCGGAGACCGATATCCGTGGGATAAGGCGAGGTGTGCATTTTTAGGGTCGACCTTTTCTAACCCCACCCCTCCTTGTGGGAAGTCAGCATCGCTGTTATGCAAGTTGTCTGAAGAAAACACCTTATTGCTGTCACCACGGCAAGGTAGCAACAACCGTCGGATTTAATTCTACATATCAGTAGTAATTTTATATAGACTAGGGTTTCATAGAGATTCAAGGTGATTGAAAATAATCAACATATCGTTTAATGTGAAGAGGAAGACTATCAGTAAAACTGTACTTTAGTGACGAGCCAATCAGGTTCAAATTAATCATTTTTCAACTTCGTGCAGAATTCAAAACCTGACGATAATTAGTTTGTACTTTATTAAGAATTTCACTACGTTTACTCTGATTTAGCCGCTTACTTACGCCTGTTACTCCCAATGGAGCATACACACCGGCGACTAGCATTCTCCAACCCACTCTGTCCTGGGCCTTCATTTCTACTTCTATCCATTTGTTGTTCATTCTTCTCGTGTCTGTCTCCATTTGTCGGTGTAATGTGTTCTTCGGTCAGCCTCTTCTACTTTGGCCTTGAGGATTCCGAGTGAATGTTTGCCTTGTGACCCAGTTGTGTGCTTTCCTCAATTTGTATTCTATACACTTCCAGTGCTTCTTCCTGATTTCTTCCTCCGCTGGAATCTGGTTTTTCTGATAGTGTCTAGTCAACGAATCCGAAGTATTTTGCGTAGACAACAGTTCATAATCATTTATATCTTCTGGATGATTGCTTTCGTAGTTCTGGAAGTTTCCGCCCCATACAATAGAACTGTCTCGACATTTGTATTGGAAATTCTGACTTTGATGTTAGTTGACAGTTGTTTTGAGTTCTATATGCTCTTCAGTTGTAAATATGCTGCTCTTGCTTTTCCGATTCGCGCATTCACATCTGCATCAGATTCACCGTGTTCATCAATGATGTTGCCCAGTTATGTAAAGGTTTTTACATCCTCTAAATCTTCTCCGTCAATTGTGATTCGATTGATGTATGGTGTGTTGTATCGAAACGATCAAAATCGATAAACATATCTGTTGGGCAAATATAGAGGGAATATAATATGGTTTATAAGCTAATTTACAAGAATCACTTACTCCATATAATGTAGATTGTATTTGAAACAGAAATTACTTGTTGAGTGTATTTTATACGATTCAGAGGATACCTAAGAATGTGTGTGTCATTTGGTCTATTGAGAGCTTATAGTATTGTTTTGGCTCAATCCAAAAGTTAATTACTTCGTGAACTGATATTATGTATTGGTATGGTCACCCCCTTCTAGCCATTGTCAGGGAAGTCGTACTCACTGCCTTTTCGTGGCGAGAGTGTTGTTTACGCAAATGAGAGGATGAAAAGCGAATGTCTGGCTCTTTAACCGGGTTGGTGAGTATAGAAGATCTACCTAGGAGAGTTGTAAAACCCTGACTCCAAACCACTGGTACACATGGGGTCTCCATGATCCTGATGAAACATTTGGTGTATGAACCAATTGTTGATCAACGGCTATCATGTGACTGCATCTCCTCACCTATAGAAAGTGAAAAGTCACATGTAACGTTTCTGATTGAATGATTACTTATACTGCTACTATGTTTAGTAGCGTTCCAGAAAGTTCCGTAAGTTCAAGGCTTTCTAAAGTGCTATATATACCCTAAAGATTCTGTATAGAAAAGAATCTTGGAGTAAAGTGTTTCTTCTATATTTCACACCTTTTCTTTTGTATTCGAGTCATTGTGTAGATTTAGCCTGTGAGTTACTAGAAGAGCTTAATAAACTAAATCTAATATTCAATTAAAAGATTTAACGGAGACCTTTAAACGAATCTCAAGTGACTTAGAGAAATATTAGCCAATCAGCAAACAGTCAGTATAGAGTAAAAATATGTTATACAAAACCAAGGAAATAAAGTGGATATACTTCTTATACGTGGTTCAAAAACTTGTCAGGGTTAGAAAGAGGTTCAAAGGTTCTAATATCATAATGCATTCAGTAGAGGAAATCATCCATATGGCTGCAGAATAGTCGGCCTCTGGAGCCATGATCAAGTCTCAAAAACTCTTTCAGCCTCCACCACATAGTTTCAATATTGTTTATGTGCACTCCGGTTGTTGAGTGCACAAAATACTACTTGTGGATAACGACACGATACACATAAACAAGCCTATGTACGAGTCTGTGCACTCTCTAATACTCCGCATATATTGTAGTACCTGGCTGGAGCTAGTGTTACTGGTGCTTTTATTATCCAGTTCTCAATAATTGTCATAGTTTGCCTTAGTTAGGAATTATATATAAATAGGGTTTTCATCACGAACTGACATCAGCTATAATGCCAGAAATTTATCTAGCCAAATGGATGAAAGGCTTTCGCGTTAAGATCCGAGATCTATTATCTTATACCTGATTGTTTCGTCCACAAATTATAGTCCCGCCGTTTTATTTGTTATAGCCGCTCAATTACCACGTTTTGTGCGAAATTTCGTACGTTAGCATGCAGCGCTGAAATTGGCGCCATAACCTTGAGATCTCTTAAACGGCTCTGATTGGCTCGTCCATAAATTAGAGTCACCCTAGATTATCCTGATAGCTACTTACAATATATCGACAGTTAAATGGAGTTTATATGATATCGATTTTAATCATAAGTTATTATCAACAAGTTGGTTTTAATTCAGTTGCTTAGTAGTATTGTCAACAGTTGAGATCATGAGTCAACTGAAGCTAGACCACCATGGAAAACCTGGAAGTACTGGACGGCCGTTTCGTCCTATTAAGGGACTCTTCAGCAGCGCGCATCCACGACAACGCCTCGGGGATTCGAACCCGGGACCTACCGGTCTCGCGCCAGGCGCTTAACCAATTCCGTGGATTAATGCCGTTGGATGCCGTCTCAGTGGTCTAGTTGGCTAAGCGCCTGGCGCAAGACTGATAGGTCCCAGGTTCGAATCCCGCGAGGCGGGGTCGTGGATGCGCGCTGCTGAGAACTCATATACTGGGACAAAACGGCCGTTCAGTGCTTTCAGGTTTTCCATGGTGGTCTAGCTTCAATTGACTCATGATCTTAACTGTTGAAATTACTATAATATCCACAAAACCCCTTCTGATAGTAGCAATGTATTGTCCTCATTTTGTAAATCCACTCCTACTGTTATATTTCGATGAGAATATTGAGTAGTAACTTTTGGGATCCATTTATGGATCAATACTATACGTACATTTTTATCGTATAATTGTTAAATAACTAAACTATTCATATTCGTGTTCCTCTTATCACAAGCTTTATTTTGTCCTATGAATTATTATTATACGAGTTACCATTCTTGTGTTATGCCCACTCTGGTAATTACAGTCTTCCATATTCACCGCCACATTTGACCAAATCTTGTACAAATGTTGTTTCCTATTTTATTGGTACGATATGGTCTGTTTGACTGGTGTATATAAACCCAGTACGTTTGAAATGGATGATTCATATGGCGGAGGCTATGATTGGTGTTCTGCACTTAACAGGGCAGGAAGAACGACCGATAAAGACTTTAAACTGCTCGTACAGGTTTTTATGCATCAATGGTCTTGTTGAAAATTCACTGTTCCATAATTGGCGGTATCATTACGTCATATATATATATATATATATATATATATATATATATATATATATATATATATATATATATATATATATATATATATATATATATATATATATATATATATATATATATATATATATATATATATATATATATATATACATTGATAGGAGCACAAAGACACAAGTTATAACATCTACATGGAATTGAGGGCACACTAAGTATGGAATCAGAAACGGAAATGAATGAAAAGAATTCTATGTTGTTTCGTATTTGGTAAATTATTAACAGGTTTACACACTTAAATACTATCTGTCAATAAAATGTTGATAAATAACTTTCAAATTGAGATGATACCGTCTCAATAAGATACATGTGATAAGTAATAACTTCCTAAAATAAGGTAGTTTAGTTGAAACTAGACATTGATACTGACATTGTTAATTTTAAAAGATACTACTAGATGAAGGGCCTCAACTACAGATCACTACTAGGTCAATGTACAGCCGGACATGAAACACTTATCTTACCTGTCTACCTTTAATCGCAATCAAATATACTTCCTCTTTCAGCTATCATCACCATCCTCTATGTTTATCTTTAAGGCAAAACTGTTGACAGAGCCTAGGAAACTAGTATTATCCGGTTCTGTATTATCTAATTTGTCTTCATATACATTCAAAACATGATCTACATTGTATTATTTTATCATAGCCACAATGTTGATTATCTCTATACAATAAATTCATCATACTATTTCAAGGTTTCTCATTGTGATATGTCTTACAGGCGACTAATACGCGTAGACGACTTTAAGCAACTAATACGTGAAAATGATGAGGGAGATTGATTTTCTAAGCTTGACAATTAACCCAATACTAATTAGACCGGAACGAACGAAGAGAAAGCACACAAGACCATGATCACCAGTTCAAGATTAGACATT